TTTTTTTTTTTTTTTTTTTTTTTTCTTCATTGTCACTTCCTTCCTAATATACATTCCTCCTCTCTCTTGTTAAGGGAACTGTATTCCCAGTTCCTGAAGGAAATGATTATCCAGCCTGGGATAGCCAAAGCCAACCTTGGTGTCTCCAGGGAGGATGTAACCTTAGAGGACCATGTAAGTTCATGTCTTGGAAATTCTTCTTGCAGGTTTTGTACTGGGATCCTGGCTTGATCTATAGAGTTACTGCTGCTGGCTTACAGAACAATAGTTTCAGGCCCATATCGTAGGATGTGATGTCCCAAGGGAAGCATCTGTCACCTATGGCCATATCCACATGAGTGTAAATTTTTGTTTCCCCAGAGGCAAGAAGCAGTGGCACACCTTGTGCTGCTGCTACTTGTCCCTAGAGAAAGCCTGTGCCGTGCACCCTCTGGTGCATGGCCGGTTACAACGGGTGGGGTAGGGGAGGCTGAGGCCAGCACTAGGCTGCCTTCGTTGGGGTCCTGGAGGCCTCCTGGGGCTGCAGCAGAACCTGGCTGGCAGCTGGAGTATGGCTGCAGCTGGCCAGGTTCTGATTTCTCGGGTGGCATGCGCTGCTTTATTATTATTATTATTACCACCACCACCACCCCAGGGTCAGAAATCCCACTCCCTTGCAGTATAGAGAACAGCTGAATGCGGTACTACAGACGCGTCTGCGGTGTCACATACTGCACAGCTGTGCTTGTCTTGATGTGGCTGAGACTCCATAGCCTGCAGATTCAAAATTGTAAAGCCACCGTCCCAAGTCTCCTTTCCTTTCTCCCTTACTCTATTTTGCCTGCTTCTCAATGCACAGACCTCAAGTAGGAGTAAAGAGTCAGGAAGGGGACAAGGAAAGCTTCTAGCACAGTGAAACTTTCCAGTTAGCCTTTTTGTGCTTCTATCCTGGATTGCAGTTCTGTAGATCCTCCTGAAACCGGGATATTGGTCTAGCCATCAGACTAGGCTGCTTCCATGGGTTTTAAAAGCAGGAAGCTTTACTCTTGGTCCCAGCTCTGCCACTGATTTACTGTGACTGATCACTTTGCTCACGTGTCCTGACGACCTGTCTCTGGCATTCTTTCACAGTCCATCTACCCCAGGTTGAAGTCTCCTAAAAAATCAGATAGCAGCAGGCTGGGGTGTGATGCACTCCACGCTTTTACTCAGTCATTTGTTACCTTGACATTTGGGGTTCTTGAAATGTTCTTTTACTGCACTCTAATGATTTTCAGATGACTTTGTTAGTCTTCTTTGGGCACTGTTTGTAAAGTCTGCATGTTGTCTTATCCTAAGTGTCTGTTAAGAGACTGACTATATGTAGGAAATTATCCTACACTTCCTTAGCCGTAGGCAAACCACAGAGTTTGTGTTCGGGTTTGTTTGTTTTTTTTAATGCAATGATCTTTATAATTTGGCAATGCTTCTCATGCTCTTATGCAAGTGTATCAGCTCTGCACTAATGGAACAATTGGCAAATAGTGAGAGAATGTTATGGTAGTTAGTACAGAAAATACCTTCTATGCATTGTGGGAGGTTTACCCTGAATGCCAATTTGCTGTAGATTAGTGGAGCCTGAATGCATAAGCAAATTCACAGAGACCAGTGAGAATAAATTGGAGAATATCTGCTCGTACTGCTCAGGACTGACCAAAAGTTGTTTGTGATCCAAGGTAGACCAGTGTCTACAAAGAACCCGCATAAGCTGACCAGAGAAACAGAGCTGGTGTTTGTCTAGCAAGTTGGGTTTAAACACACTGGCTAGAAAGGTGATAGATAGCACAGTTCTTCTGAATAGTGTAGGCACAGCCAAAAGGCCTCCACTCAGCTTGTCAGGCTGTGTAAGGTTGCTTGTAAGTGAACCTTTGAATTTACAGTGCTTTTGTCCTTCTTCAGCCACTCAATCCAAACCCAGACAGCCGATGGAATACTTACTTCAAGGACAATGAAGTCCTGCTGCAGATAGACAAGGATGTCAGGTATGTAGATAGGGTCTCTGGTAAAATGCCCAATTCAGTTGCAATATTGCTGTCCCTCTTCCCCACAAAATGTGCCTGCTGTCCCTCTTCCCCACACCATGTGCCTGCTACTTCAGGAATAACCAGTATTTCACGTTACCAGGGCCCTTCTGTTTCACATCATGTACACACCCCTCTCCTAAAGCCCCTCTTTGAAATACGGCTTTCATCTATTCCCACTGTAGGAGGCTATACCCAGATATGGCATTCTTCCAGCGCCCAACTGAGTATCCTTGCCTGCTAATCTTGGACCCCCAGAATGACTTTGAGACACTACGCAAGCGGGTGGAACAGACAACACTCAAGTCGCAGACAGTAGCACGAAACCGGAGTGGTGTTACAAATGTATGACTTGGCACTGAGCTTCTGCTACACTCCCTAGGATGGGGACCAGGCAGGTTAGGGAACTGCCACTTCCAAGGTGCCCTTGCCAAGCTGCCTGCCAGGCTGGCTTATTTGAGAGGCTGAGTTTTTTGTTTTTGTTTTTTTCCTTTTTTCACCTCCACCTGTGGTGGGGGCTCTTGTGAACTTGGAGTGTGGTGCTTTCTTCCTTTCTCCAGGGGGACAGGCTTTTCTGAAGGGCAGTTTGGATGTAATCTAACAGGCTTGAATCCCCATCTGCATAAAAAGTTAGGATCATCATGTTGTGGGCAGAGTAGCAAACAATTGATGATCCTCTGTAACCAGTGGCAGATGTTAAGCTCAAAGCACATGTGATTTGATCACTTCATTCTGCTTCCTCAGTGATTTCAAGGTAGCAGGTTGGTGCCTTCCTCCTACCTGGGGTGTAGTCTGCAATTTGAATCGGGGTAGCTGTCTGTCTTATGAGCCAGTGCAGCAGTCCTAGTGAGAGCTTTCTGGCCTGGTTTCCTTTACTCTGTGGACAAGTCTTCAGTGCATCGTGCATGTGGGCTGCATTTAAGCATTAATAGCTGCCTCCTGATCACATTGTTTAATTGGCTAGGGAGCGTCTAGGAGCTGAGCACCTGAAGTCAATGTTGGCTCCACGTAAAGCATTTTGTCCATTGAAACTGGGTGTCCAGAATGTGTTGGGTTTTTTTTTCTTGCCCTTTAGGTGAGTTCCCCTCTCAAACCATCTGCTCCTCATTCATTGAGTGAATATGAAGTTCTGCCTAATGGTTGTGAAGCTCACTGGGAGGTGGTAGAACGGATTCTATTCATCTATGCAAAGCTGAATCCAGGGATAGCATATGTCCAGGGAATGAATGAAATAGTGGGGCCTCTTTACTACACCTTTGCTACGGATCCCAACAGCGAGTGGAAAGGTAAGACTGTACATGAGTGATCTGTACCGCTTCTGTAAAGAATGGTTAAGAAGCAGCTGATGTAGACTCCAGTGGCTCCCAGCTTTTCCCTAGCAAATGGCCTCTTTCAAAAGGGGGGTGGCTTGAAGTACTTGGAAGGAGCTTCAGGATATCGGCACTCTTCAGTATGGTTCTATGATGGTTTTGAAAATTAGTCTTTAAAAAGTCAGTTTTGATTTCCATGAAGTCTGTACCATCATGCCTCAAAGTAGAGCAAATGGCCAATTTCCTGATGAATTTCACATTGCACAGCCTGTCTTGAGTTGTTATAAGAATGCTGTAGCTGCGAATAAATGTGACTTAAGGGTCATGGGGAAACTTACCGCTCAGGAACAAATGTCAGCAACTGAACCTGATGTGGTTGTTCTGTTTGCCCCTGACCTGGTGTGAAGTGGAGCTAAACCACCATAACTTTTAAATCTGAATGATGCTTGTTTCAAGTTGTCTGCTCCTGTACCACAGTAGAATAGTTGTGCCAGTGCTTCGTGTCTTGCATTCCAGGTGAGTATCAGTTTATTGTATGTCTAAAAGCCGAGGGACAGAGCAACTGTATAAATTCAGCCCAACTTCATAAGCCAAGAACATGTGGGACCCACCTCCTATTTGCATCTAGTACAAAAGAAGGAAAGATCAGCAGGGTTGCACTAACTTCCTTGCGTGCCTTTGCTCCTTCCTCCATTCTTAGGTTTCTCTCTTCTTTTTCCTTTTTCCAGAACATGCTGAAGCAGACACCTTTTTCTGCTTCACCAATCTAATGGCTGAGATCCGGGACAACTTCATTAAGAGCCTGGATGATTCTCAGTGTGGCATTACCTACAAAATGGAGAAGGTCTACTCCACCCTGAAGGAGAAGGATGTAGAACTGTACCTTAAACTGGTGAGGACTTGGACATTTGTCTCTCTTTTGCTTGAAATGTGGAGTGAGGTGGTGGGTCTTCAGGCTGCTTCCAGACAGCTTGCTGGCTGATTTGAAATTGTAACAGTGTTTTAAGTAAAGAAAAGCTTAATAAAAATCTTAAATAAAATGTAAAGCCAAGGGCTTCTGTCCCCAGGGATAGCCTGCCTTGAGTCCAAGATGGAGACCTACAAATGATGTGGTCTTGCTTCATCAAATCAAAAACCAATCCCCCGGGTGTTTGGCTTTTGTTGTCTGCTGTCCTAATAGCACTGGCTTTTTATACAATACATTGGCTGTGATGACTTGGTAATAGTGCCAACCTGGGCATGTAACAATGGTGCCACAGGAAGACGACCTTTGAGGATTTCAGTGCCTGACAAACGTTTTGCAATATTCTGTGAGGTGATAGAGGGTTGCAGTTCCTCTGAAATGCAAGATCTGCCTAATATTGCTGTGTAACATTAGACTTGAGATGCAAAGTGAAGAATATTACTTGCAAATTATTCTGCAGGCAGAACTTCCCTCTGAAATTACCCCTGCAGCTTCTAGTGCAAACTTGGCTAGAATACAAGATCTGTCTTATTGCTTTAAGAGTTACAGAAAGACAGAGTGATCTTAATGTGGCTTCCAAGTGGTTGGGCTCTATCTTGTATAACTCTTAAAAGATGGCATCTGTCAGACCAGTGACATAGCCAGAGACATTGAATTCTGACTTGGTGGGAAGGTGACCTACCTAGAAAGTGGTGTGGTCAGTCAGCAGCAGTTCAGCATTCAGATAAGCCTTTCAAGGAAGTGTCCTGATTCTCCTTTCTAACTTGTGAAATCTAATCCACAGTAAGAAGTGTTACAGCTGCGGACAAGAGCTTTGAGTAGTGCTATTGCTTGGCACTAATCAACGTGAAACTCTGCCCTGTTTTACTTCTTTAGGAGTAGGTTCGGATGACTAGGGGATTTTTTAACTTGTGGAAAGGAGAAGACACTGTTGATTTCAACTGATAGGGAAACCCAGGACTTCCTGTGAACAGCCCCTTTCAAAGGGGAAATAAAGCTGAATGTACTTAAGTGTTTGGTTTGCATTTCAGGAAAGTTAAAATTTCCTTCATACCATGTGTGGAAAGCTGGAGGTAACTCTTCTGCTTTGGCCATAGACACCGAGGATAGAGGCACACAGGGGGACTTGTCATTGTGCTCCAAGGACTTGAGTGGTGGGTCTGAGAAGCCTTTTGAAAGAACCCATGAATGATATCACAGGACAAGGCTAAGAGCCTTTGAACCAGAGATGAATAACTATGAAGTACAGGCTACTTTTTTTTTTTTGTCCATATCACTCCAGCAGAAAGTTAGTTCTATGAAGTGGAGGCCAGGGAAGCAGGAAACAAGCATGTCCCTTGCTTGTAGTAAACTGGACGAGAAATGTTGACTCTGCCTCGTGTCTGTCCAACAGCAAGAACAGAACATCAAGCCTCAGTTCTTTGCCTTCCGCTGGCTAACACTGCTGCTGTCCCAGGAGTTCCTGTTGCCTGATGTCATCCGTATATGGGACTCTCTCTTTGCTGATGACAACCGCTTTGACTTTCTTCTGCTCGTTTGTTGCGCCATGTTGACGTGAGTGCTGTAAAACCCTGGGGGGTTGGTTTTAGTGGCCAACAATTCGCACCCTCCCCCCTGGAACTCACTCTTTTCTATGTTGGGTAATGTTGACATGGCTTGTGCTCCTTGATTTCCCATCTCCCTGCCTGAATCCAAAGATCTAGGGGTCTTGCTTGCACGGACATATGAGCAGGGGTCTGAGAAGAATTGTAATCATTCTTAACACAGTATTTCTCATCAAAATGGACTTTGGGTGGTGGTGTGGTGGACTGTCAGCACCTTTTTATAAATAACTTCAGGGGCAACACTGGACATCGTTCTAAGGAGTCGGAAGCATTTGGATTAATGTGCCCTGTCTTTCAGACTAATCCGGGATCAACTGCTGGAAGGGGACTTCACTTTAAACATGAGGCTGCTACAGGTAAAGATAAAATACAGCAGGAATGAGGAGGAATCTGAAAAAACTGTCAATGAGAGACTCGCCTTGGGTGCAATGCTTGCATATGGCAGCCTTCTCATCTGAGCCAGAACAGTTTTATGGGTGCCCCTACTGACGATAATGGGACAGGCCTGGAAAGCCCTTTGTCTGTTGGCTTCGTGTCACTCCCCTGAAGCTGATGAAGTATTGATTTTTGACTATAAACTTCTTAATTGGGGAATCCACTCATGACAAAATGGTATTTCTGCATACTGGCTGAGCCTTCACATGATGGGTCTCCTGGATCCTGCTGTCTGACGGGAGCTTTTTGTTTCTCTGACAGCAGCCTTCCCTCTTCCATGCCTCGTGTGCTGACAATGACATGGCCTAAGTATTGCTTATTTCAGGCTGTGTAGCTAGTGTTAAGAGAAAACTATAAATGCCATGCCTCTTGATAACAGTAGTAAAATCAGTCCCCATTCCAGAGCAGAGCAGTCCTAATTTCTAGATCAGTCTATTATCGTGATGGGATACCCAGCTTGCCAGAGAGAAGCATGACCATTAATGAGATCTCTTAATTGGCAGGAACAGCCAAGTACTGGCAAGTGACTGAGGGAATTCTTCTGTTTTATGCCGAGTGAAATACCTTTGATCCAAGCAACCAGCTTGGTCTCAATAAGGCAGTAGCCCTGGTTCAGGTTTATTCCTGGGAACTTGGTCACTGCATCAAGTCAACTCACTCTCAGGACTAACAAATCTAATGTGCAATAGGATGTACAAGCCTCATCCTTACAAAATGGAAAGGAACTTGCTTGCTTCAGGGGATTCTAACCCTGAAGGCAACATCTGTCCCTAAAAACAGTCATCTGCAGGCTGGTGACCTTGGCCAGGCCAGTGTCTATCTTGTTTGTGGCACCTTCATGCCTTTTACAATAAACCACTTGAATTGATTCTCTTAATGCAGGACTATCCCATCTCTGATGTCCATCTGATTTTGAAGAAAGCAAAGGAGCTTCAGGATTCCAAATAGTCCATGAGCCTGGTGGTGTCAGAGGAACTGTGCAGTAGCATATGCTAGGAGACGCCCTCTTACAGTTCGGAGCTCCTGCAAGCCTCTGCAGGGCATTGGGTTTTGTGTTCTACCTACTGGCCTTGTTGAAGACTTCCTTCCACTATTTATTAGGTCATGGACTGACTATTCCCAGCTAGACAGGTCCTGCACTCCAGGTTTTCTGAATCTCTTAACTCCATGCTGCCTAAGCAGCTCTCTGTATCTTTTTTTTTTTAATGACTTTTTTAAGTTTGGGGAGATAGAAACTGTTTAGCTAAGTATTCCTCAAAGTCTTACAAAACACTTTTTTTTGTGTCTAGCATTATGAAGGCGTGTGCTCACACATGGGGATTTCTGTGATAGGGGAAAGAATGGGATGGATCCAGTGGAGTTTGGTGGGTAAGTAGAGAGTCTCCCTTGTAAATAGAATGTGTCCCACTTGATCAGCAGGATTCTGTGCCTGTGTCTGCACCTTGTCCTCTCTTGGGCATGCAACAAGTTCACTGTCCTTCTGGTGAGTGTTAGATGGAGCTCTGCAGTTCTGACCTCTTTCCATGGGAAGGAGGCTTTAAAAAGCTGCGGTGGGAGAATGCTATTATAGCTGGCTGCTTTTGTGCAGTGAGACTACCTGCTCTCTAGCAGAGCCTGGTCTAAAACTGCCTTATCAAGGAGCTCTCCTTGATGATGACCTTACTTGGAAGTATTAGGTAGGGGTGTGGTTTTAACTGGTGAGTGAAACAATTTAACCAAGTCAAACAAGCCTTATTTTACACAGCCTTAGAGCAGGGGCCCTGCTACTGCAGAGAGGCTTCAGGTCTTGAGCTGTCTTCCATGCCACTTGTGTGGATTCTACATTTATTCCAAATTAAAGATGGGGTCTCTAATTGCAAGCAGGATTCTAAAGCACCAAGGGGCAGGTCTCCAGTCCTGTGCTGCCCAGACTGGAGTCTTCAGTGGGGACTTCAAAAGGCATAATGTAGGTTTTGCTATGAAACTGGCTTTTTGCCTTTGAATGTTTGTAACGTTACCTAGACTACTCCAAGCCTTTCAAACCAATTCAGTAACCTCTGGTCAGCATAACTTTTTCAGTCTGTGATAATCCTTGCTGGTAAGTGACTTGAGATTATAAATTAGTTTTTGTGTGCATGTGCACACGTGCTGTCTTAGGATGTGATCCTTTTGGAGACAAGCGGTAAACTGGTAATCGCTGATGCTTTGGGATACCCTTTTTCTCAGAACATCTCGTGAAGGAGTGAGTGCCACGTGCTGGTACAGCCCCACCAGAGCGGGAAAACACTGTATTCCATGCAGATGCAGTGGATCGCAGTATATCTGCATCATCCAAAATTAGTGATTGGGGCTGGGGCAGGAGGGACTTGCAGCCTGCAAGCAGTGTCCTGGTGATCGGAATGGGGACCCAGAGTGAGCGTCAGGTGATTCTTTTTTTATAGCGGTGGGAGAAACTGGAGCAGCTGAGTACTCCAGATGCTGTGAACAAACACTAACCCAGGATGCTGTGCTTCCCACTGTCAGGACAGTGCAGAATTACAGTTGTCCAACATTGCAGCTGTCTCCTATTTAGTGTGTGTGTGTGTGTGTGTGTGTGTGTGTGTGTGTGTGTGTGTG